AACATGTTGTACCATTTCTTATGACATCTCTCCAAACACAAGATCATCAAGACTCTTGATTTTTCCCTTTTTATTGACACCTAGGATTATATCAATATCCTCATTTATTTCTTCAGTCTTCAGATTAGAATATCCCAGATTTTGATGGCTCAGATTTACTTCCTCATCTTTAGACATTATATAGTTTGGGGAAAGGTTTGTTTCTTGAGAAGACCATAGGTAACAATTTTCTTTGATCTAGCTCCCTTCATAACTACTTCATTCTTCTCATATGTTACCAAACATTCAGATCCAGTAAAGTTAACTATGAGGCCTTGGTCACATAGTTGACTGATATTTATCAAATTAGCAGTCATCCCTTTAACAAACATCACATCATCAATAGTAGGTAGTCCTACACATCCCAGCTTTCCAACACCCTTTATTTCACCTTTTAATCCATCTATAAAAGTTACATAGCTAGAGCACTATGATTTAATGTCCATTAAGAATTTCTTGACACCAGTCACGTGTCTAGAACAACCACTACCAAAATAACAATCTTTTATGGTAGAGGCTCTGACAGAGGTGTGAGCTATGAGTCTAGAAATATCCTTTCTAGGAGTCCACTCTTTCTTATCTTTAACAAGGGTCTTCTCTCTTATGGGTTGAGCAACATGTTTAGGATAGTCATATAATCTGTAACAGTAGGGTTTTATGTGACCAAACCTTCCATAATAGTGACATCTCTAATGTCGAGTTTTGTTTATTGAGTGATATTTCTGATGTCTATTCTGATGTTGGAACATTTGATTTGACATATTATATTCTTGCTACCCTTTTTCTTTGACAAACCTTACTTCAGGCCCTTTTACTTTGTTCTTCAGAGCTTGATTATCATACCCAATACCTCTGACATTTCCAACACTCTTACCAGTTTGAAGAATCTCATCCAGCACATCAGAACGTTGTTGATCATTCTCACAATTTATTCATATTGTCAAGTTGAGATTTGAGTAATATAACTTCACCTTCCAAGCCAGAGATGGTGGAAACTTGCTCCATTTTTTATGTCTTTAGGCCATAGATGATAGGCAGATGCTCCACTTTTTCATATTGTAGTTGAGCTATAGTTTTCTTTTGATTTTCTCCTAATTGACATACCTCTTCACTTCTGAGACATAGCTCCTTGTAGGAAGAAACAAGTTCTTCAAAGGTCAATTCCTCACAATCTGAGTCTTCATCATAGTAAGAGATTCCAGTCATAGCTATGACATGTTTGGTAGCTTGTTCTTCAGGATCACTTTCAGAGTCTTCTTATGACCAAGATGCAGATAAAATCCTCTTATGCTTCTTGATATAAGTTAGACATCCAACTCTTATGTGGCCAAAACCTTCACATTCATGACACTGAAATCCTCTTCCTTAGTTGGATTTGTCATCAGTTATGGCCCTTCTTTCAACCTCCTGGTTTTTGTTGATGTTGAAAGACTTATCAAATGAGTTGTTCTTGACATTTGATATTGACTTCTAGTCCTCCTTCTTTATCACTTTGTTGAATTATCTTCCAAATAACACAATAGAACTTAATATCCCTTCTTTTGTATCCAAGTCACACTCACCTTCTTGGTCATCGGTATTAGAGATAAAGGCAACACTCTTCTTCTTTTCAAACTTCTCACAGATCTCTAGTTCAAAGGTATGTAGAGATCCTATAAGCTCATCAACCTTCATATTGTTTATATCTTGGTTTTCTTCAATGGCTGTCACTTTCATCTCAAACCTCTTTGGAAGAGATCTGAGAATCCTTCTCACCAACTTAGCTTCAAACATCTTCTCCCCTAGGACACTTGAGGCATTGGCTATCTCAATAATATTCATGTGAAAGTCACGAATACTCTCATCCTTATTCATTCTTAAGTTCTCAAATTTGGTTAGAAGCTGAAGTCTTGACATCTTCACCTCAGAAGTTCCTTCATGAGCAGTCTTCAAAATCTCTCAAGCTTCTTTAGCAACAGTACAATTCCTTATCAGTTTGAAAATGTTATTGTACTCTCCATTGAATAGTGCATTAAATGCTTTGGAGTTTCCCACTGCTAGCTTGTCATCTTCATTATTCCAGTCTTCCTCCGCCTTCAGCACATCAGTAGTCTTCTCATCCTTATCTTTAGACATTTGTGCATCCCATCCTTTAACAACAGATTTTTAAACTTTGTTGTCCATGGACTTGATGAAAGCCACTATACAAGCTTTCCAATAGTCATAATTGGTTCCATCAAGGATGGGTGGTCAGTTCACAAATCCCCATTCCTTATTAATTGTATCAGAAAGTATCTTCCCTGAATCTCACTCAAATACAGAGTAAGATGCACGCTTTGATACCAATTGAAATTTTAGTAATCAGATCTCAGATCTCCTAAGAGATGTCGAGACACTGATAACTCTCTTAATAACATCATTAGTGGCAATATAGGAATGAGAATATATAGTCTTTTTCCAAATCTAATTAAGGATGATTTTTTTTTGACGTGTGTCTGTGCATTTCGAATTTCTTTGTTCTCAAGATTATTCATTTTATGGAATGCTCTAAACTTAGTTGATGACTAGAGATATTATTGCTCCAAAACACAACAATTCTTTGAGACTTGTATAAAATAGAGAACACAAGAACATAAATAGATAGATCTGAAAGAGAGATAAATTGCAACATGTAATAAATCCACAACGACTTCGGGGTGCATAAAACGTAGTCAATATAGCATAAACAGAGGAGAGATGCATCTTTGAGATGCTAAGACCAACCTTAAATATTTTTCCATCTCGTAGTAGTGGTGGTGGCTATGGTGGCGGCCATATCAATAGAGAGGGAAACATTTTGGTAGTGATTTACAGTGAAGAAAGAGGAAATCTAATGAGGGGTCTAGTTCCGATGAAAGCGTGAGAATGAGGTTGGATAAAAGAGGAATTGCTCTTTATAGAGGGTGGGATGACCACATAAAAGTGGTAGATGGGAGCCACCATGAAGGTAGGAGTGGCCACCATCAAACCCTAAAGGTTTGGGAAGAGGTTTTCTAGAGAGAAGAGAGAATATCTCTCTCTAGAAAGTTTATGTTGCAAACATAGTAAAATTAAGTATTGTATTATAAATTTTTTTAAGATAAATAATAACAAAAGCATTTTTGTTAATATGAAAGTAAGGGTGTCAGGTATGACAGGTTGAATTCTTAAAATTGTGTTAAATATTCATTATTTGGTAGACTACTATATAGGACTAATAACATTTTTTCTTTTGTCATTTGTGCGAGTTCTGTTTTTAATAATACAACACAACTTTTTAGACATATACCATGGAAATCAATATAGGGTGTGTTTATTTCAAGTTATAGAAAAGACATTATTGAAATCATATTCCTTGAATTATTATTTCTAGGAATAATATTTCCACCGAATAAAAATTAAAATTCCTGAAAATGATTACATATTTATTTGGTGGCTTCTAAGGTGAGGGTTCCATCAAATTCCTCACTAGTGGACCACACGTACAAGACTTGAGAACCATTAGATTAATCAAACACATAGATACTCTTATACATTAAATACACTCGATTTTTTTTATTATTGTCTTCCTCTTTCTCTCGCCTTTTCTCATACCCTCTGTGACCAAATCTGCACATACTCGTTTTTGTTAGATGATCTAGGGCTTTAACTTTGCACATCACATAATTTTATTACCAAATTAAAGATGAATTTGTGATGTTAATTCTATGATGGTTGAGAAAGATAAAGGGATTGAAATAAAACATCATAGTATTTTAACACCGGCATCATAGTATTTAACACTTCAATACATTAAACCTTAGACATCCAACCTTTCCCCAAGTTCCAATAAGAGAGAGAGGACATATGTGAAATTCTTGCAGAGGGAGGGGGTTAAAATTTTGAGAACCTTTCTTTTTCATTCACCTTGTTAAAATTTGAAGATTGAAAGTTCCTATTTTTAATTTTAATTAATAGATCACTAATAGATGGGATGAAATCAAGAGGCTTTTGAATAAATATTTTAGTTAAAGAATATTGTGGTGGTGTTGTTCAAGAAAGGAAAAAGTTGGAACTCAAAGTTGTTTTAACTTTTAACAAACATGAGAGATAAGAGATAGAAACATGAGAGATAAGAGATAGAAAGAGATTAACAGTTGAGATAGATGATGTGAACAAAGTATTGCATGAGATAAGTTATGCATGTTCTCATTTTTATTAATCTAAACCTTTATTATTATTATTATTATTTTTATTATTTATTTTTTATAATTTTTGAATTAAACAAATAAGTGACTTCTAGAGTGAGTCATCAATTAAGTGATTCACCGTAGAGCATTTTTATTCCCTGTCAGATCTATTACACATATAATTAAAGACGGTAAATAAAAATGCTCCACGGGTGAATCACCTAATTGATGGCTCACTCTAGAAGCCACGGGTGAGAAGTTACCAGTAGTTGAATTTATTCTCACACCCTTTAAGTATGAGAAGAATTATGTGCAAATAAAAAATATTCGGGAACAATTTTTAAAAACTTGAAACAATCATGAGATTAATGCATTTCCAATGTCACATTCCCATAATGTAATTTCAATCCTTCGAAACAAACATACCCATAGAGATGTATGGAAAACAATAACTGAATATAATCAACTCTAAGAGCAAATAAAAACATAATTTGTAGTATTGTGATGGTAACAAACTGGTCTTGAACATTCTCAGTAATTTTAGTACACATATAATACCAGAAATCAATTCAGTGAGGAATAAATAACGAATTATTATTATCAGTTCTATTTCAGGTTGATAAGATAGATTCACCTCTGAATAGCTATATTTCCTTGACCTATAGGAGGAGCTACACAAATTGTAACAGTAAACAATACATACTTCTTTTGGAAAAATAAAACATGGGATATAATTAATTTGCCAGATACAGCTAGTTAACTGCCTTGATTGTGAAACTCTACCCGCTGATTGCATTAGAAGCCGTCGGGAGGGAAATGCCCAGGAAAAGGGTTGTATTTTTGTGCCTGATTCAGATGCATTCGCAAAGCATAGTTGTTAACCTGTAAACAAAGCCATAGATACAGCATTCATTAGCATATGCAAAACAATGGAACATTATGTTCAGATGTAATAAATCAAGCATTTGCCCCTCACACTCTTTCAACGGAATGGGGGAAATTTGAAGATAACCAGAAAACAGTAAACTCCAATCCTCACTTGAAAGACTAATGATTGATCGTAGATAGTGGATTTACTTCCAAAGACTTGACCACGCGGTGGAGAAAACATAGAAGCTAATGCAACTTATGCAAGTCCCTTGTATTCACTTCCATGTATAGGTTATCTTAGCAATGTTATACCTCGCACAGTGACCATCGATCTCCGTGATCATTGATCGCCAGCATTAACATCAAGTCATTTATATTTATTAAGTTTAACACCATTTTCTCCCTTTATCTACCGTTTTTATAAAGGAACAGAAATATATGTATAAAACTAGATAGCAGTTGAATTGTTCCAAAATTTTCAAACCAGAATATGGCAATGATTCAAGTGTTATGATCAAATGGGGAACTGTGTGAACAGAACAGGGATAAAGCTGATCTCTAACCTCAAGAGTTCTGATCTGTTCCTGGTATTGAGATACCAATTGCTTCAGCTGCTGCAACTCTCGGTCTTTATCTTCATAATCAGAAAGGCGTTCAAGCTGGATTCTAAAAGCACTTTTGAAACAATTTCTCTCCTTGGTCAACACTTCAACTTGATATTTCAACATCAAATTTTCCTGAAAACAAAAACCACAATATAAGCTCAACACTTGCAACCCATAATTATTTTCCACAACAAACAACTCCATTCCAATAATTATATTTGAAATTCTAAATACCAAATTCTAGCAGACCGATTAACAAACCATTAAGAAAAGAAATTACAGCCCAAAACACATACCCTTTGAAGATCAGTTATTGCCCCAGAACTCGCATGTGCACTGATTGATTTCTCCAGAACCTCAAGAAGTTTTGCAGCACGAGTTCTGGCATCATCAACAGTAGTAGCACATGACATTTCCCTAACAAACAAGTCAATCCATTCAGGTCCATCAGCCGGAAGAGTGTTTTCAGCTGGCTGATTCCCTGACGCAGAAGCATCCCCATTATTTTCAAAAACACCTACAAGTTATTCCAAAAACTAATTCATCAAATATTTATTTTCACCTTTATAAAGACACAAAATGCCATTAGAAAAATTGCATTGTACGTATCGCATAGCAAAACAGTACTATCACTACACAAACATCCAATTGAAAATTGAAATATTAAGTAATAGACATATACACAAAGAAAACATCCTATCTCGACTAGAGATATGTTTTGTTCTGCGAAAATAAAAATTGATTATTAAGAATTGATTCTATAAAAATTGACTTTGATTCTGTGGCGACAAAAATTTATTTTGAATTAATGATTTTACTTAAAAGTGATTCGAACATAATTAAACTCAAAAGCTACAAATCATAACTTCCAAAATCAATTTAAATTGAGAGCAACCAAACATGTTAAAGTCAGGTTTAATATCCAGAATCAACTATGAGTGTTCCAAACGTGTAAGCAAACATATGCATGTGTTTGGTTGTGCGGTGAAAAGAATTTGTTTTGAATGAATTGATTTTTTAAAATCGATTCTAGCTAAAAATGACTTGATGGTTAAGTGACTTATGTTTAGATAAACTTATGTAGAAGTAAGTTGAACATTAAATTTCAATGTAAAAATCACATTTTAACTCAAAAGCTACAAATTGCAACTTCAGTAGAATCAATTCTGAAGGCATAATCAATTCTACTTTAAAAAACCAACACGTCAAAATCATTCCAAAATCAATTCTACACATCTAGAATTGCTTTTGCCTCTTTCAAAATCTAAACCAAACAAAATCAAAAGTGTCTTGAAGGTAAAGTAACTTATCTTCCAAAGCTAAACCAAACATACACAAAAGTATCTTGAAGGTAAAGTAACTTATGTCCAGTGTTGTCAAAGGCGGAGAACCAAAACCCCACCAAACTGGCCACTTTGCAGCAAAGTTATAACAGAAAAACCCACAATATCGGCCGATATTTATCACTATAGCAAACCCAAAAAACACGATGTATATCCGCCATAGTGGCCATGGCGCCGCTATTTGATAAAACTTGGTTATGTTTAGATACATTGATTTAAAAGTATAAAAGTAAATTCAACCATAAATTTGACAATTCTGGAATCAAAATCTCCTATTTCTAACGAGACAAAATCAATTAAAATTAAGAGCAACCAAACCAAACGTTTCTAAAATCAAATTTATGAATATTTTAAAAAATCGAATCGAACCTGTTTCAACAGTAACAACATCAGGTTGAGGAGCAATTGCAGCAATTTCATCAGCAGATCCCAAACAAAGCCCGTGCAAACTTTTAATAGCAGCATCCAAATCATTACCACATTCCTGCAACGCTCTTTCAAGGATCTAAAACAAAAACACCATCAATTAACCAAAACATCAACCAATTCACCAAAAACAAGAAAAAATGAACAAAATGATGAAACCTGATCTTCCATATTGGGAAAGAGATTGCGAAGGTGATCAACGAGCGATGGAAGAGAAAGACGAATCGGGGAAGAGGAACAACGGAGCCTCTTGGAAACAGGTGGTGAAGGAGGAAGGTCTTCGAAAAAAGATCTCTTGGTTCCGCACACCGCAGCAGACATCGTTCAAAACTGCGTCGTCGTCTTTTAGGTTTTGTTTCTTCGTATGCTTTTTCTGTATTTGCTTCTTCTTCCCCAAAATACAAAGCCAATTGAATTTAGATTCAGAAATTAGGGTTAATGCGATATATTCGTCTCTTGCTTTCTCCGAACAAGACAAGTTATGGTGGAAAATCAATCTATCCGGGGTTATATGCCCTGCCTCCGAAGTAACATTATTAGTATTATTATTATTATCATTGTCTTAATCATAATAATTATTATTTTAATAAATATGTGAGAAAAGAAGTCATGTACTCACTATATAAAATAATTTTAAACGGTCAATTAATCACAATTATATATTTATTTATATCTTATTTTTAATTTTTTTAATGATATGACATATTATTGATTTTCTCAGCATCAATTCTTCTTTGACAAACAAATATCTACTTCTGAACATTTGCTACATAATGGAATGATATATTTATAGGAATTTTCTTTTCGCCAATATTTCTTCTTGAAGTGGTCACGATGTCCAGGACATCATCCTCATCATTTGTCTCTGATTCACTTATTTGTAACAGTTGTCTTTTGATAGGCTGCTTCTCAACAGAAGTGCTTTCAACCTTTCTTTTTTTGCTCACAGTCTTCTGTCTGAGAGATTTATTTTCCTTCTTCAGTGGACTTTTAGTAGAAGTTACTTTTCTTTCTTTATCAGCATCTCTCAAAGTAAAGTTTGAAATAACATCTTTATGTTTTCCTTTGTCTTCATCGCGTAAAGATCTAACTATGTTTTTCATAAATTTCACAACAGATTCTTCCTCAGTCACAAATTCATCATCTACTACCATTACATCTTTAGTTGTATCTTAAGTTCCTTTGATAATGTCCTTGGGAAATTTCTCCAGTAAAATGGTTGGTCATCATCTTCCTCAGCTTCACCATTGCTTTTGTCTTGTACCTCATGTTCCTTTCTGTGAGAACTGTCATTTTCGAACTCATCAGATGTATCATTCCTTTCTTCTAATCTCTCATTCAGTGTGTATCACTCACATGAATGTCCACTGCAGCTCAGTGGTCTCACTCTGAGTTTTATCAAATGTTGGAGCAGATGCTTTAACATTAGGTTCAAAATGAGGTTTTAGAAAAGGTTCCCTGTGTGTTTCAACATTAGCACTAATATTCTTAATAGAGCAGGATTCATTTTTCTTGTTCATAATAGTTATAAAAATTCACAACGAGTAAGTTTAGGTGTTTCGTGAATAGGTAAATTTGTGGTGTTTTCTTCCTTTTGTACACTGCACTCTTCTTCTATTCCTCGACGATTTCAGCAGAGATAATCGTTTGGAGGGGAAGATCATCGTGTACAACATATTGATCAATATGTATGCTTCTAGAAGTGGAAACCCTATTATTCTTTGGAGGAAATTTCTCCCCTATTTCAACTTATGACATCTTCTCCCCGTGAATATTTAGAACATGTTTGGGTCCAGAGGCATTAGATTCATTTGTTCTTTGACTCATCTTTAGTTTAGGTTGAGAGCGCTAAATAGGAGAGGTCGAGTTTGAACAACTGTGAAACAGAAACAATTTGCATGGGAGATCTGAGAGCATAGAGTTTGAATTTGAAGAGATTTCTCTTATTATATGTGTTGCAATGACGTCAAGAAAGAGAGAATTTGCATGCCTCTCTTGAGTTAAAGACCAGCTGTTGTACCCCAAAATTTGCCCTCCCATATTCTCCAATAAACTGCCAAGTCAAGCTACAAAATTCCCCAAGAGTTGCACAGTGCAAAGGCCTCCATACAGTCAAAACTAGGGTTTGTGTGCTGATCAAGAAAATGGAGTGTTCAAAAGCCCAATCAAGTCTCACATGCCTACAAAGATGGTCAAGTATCCTCATATCAAGTTTCAAGGCATTCAGCTCAAAATTGCACAGTCAAAACCCTAAATTGTACTACAGTCAACTGTAGGGGCAAAATGGTCATTTGACAGTCAAAAGTTCAAATTTTTGGTCAACATATCATTTTGAAGCCACAAACATCATTTGATCAATGCTTGATCATGATTCTCAAAATTTGGCTCAGAAATCATCAAAGATGCAAAAGTTACTATATTTGGACAGCTGAAAAAGTCAACTGAAATTGACCAGAGCATAACTTTCACATGGATTATCAGAAAAATTCCATCCAAAGCTCATTTTGAAGAGAAAGACATTTCCTACAACTCATCTTCATACTTCAAGTCCAAGAAATGCTCTCACAAAAAGTTATCAATTTCAACATTATAGGTCATTTTCAAAAGTCAACAAAAAGGGACTTTAAGTCAAAGACCATAACTTGAGATTGGTAAATCAAAATGACATGGGACCAAAGGCATTGGTTAAAGGACTCAAAGACCTTTCCAAAATGTCCAAGAACATGAGAAAAGCTTAAAAATTGAGCAAGTTATGCCTTGTAGAAGTTGGGAAATTTTTGTGAAATGGCAAAAGTCAACTATCCTTGAAACTTCAATTTTTGACAAAAGGGCCCACTTTCTTCCACTTGATTCAGCCTTGTCATGCCACACACGTGCCCCATGATTAATTTCAAGACCAAATATTGATTTTTCTATTTTATTTAATTTTTGATAATTTAATTCATTTTAAATCTTTAAAAATTCAAATAAAATTCAAAAGTCAATGAAATAGTGTCATTTGAATTGGGATAGCTTCCATATATCATGTGCCAGCTCACAAACTCATGCTAGGGTTAGATTATACACCAAGTCTTGGTTTTACCTAAAAAAAGGGAAAGTTTGTTAAGGGTGAAAAAACCTAAACCTAATTCTCTTATTTCATGGATCTTTGACCTAGTTTAGGGTTATGTTGTACACCAAGTCTTGGTTTTTCTTAAAAAAAGGGAAAGTTTGTTAAAGGTGGAAAACCAAAACCTAATTCTCTTATTTCATGGATCTTTGACCTAGTTTGTACCATAATTCCCTTCCAACATAAATATTGAAGCAAACCCTAAAGCCAAGAGGGCACAAGCTGCTACAGAACACCATAAGCAAATTCCAAATTCAAGGAAAATTTGAAAACCGAATTCCACATTCAAGCACAATTCAAAGCCTTAGAGTGATTCCAACACACTGCTGATATTCCCAGGAACGGATTGGAATAAAAAAAAAACAAGCCATAAAGCTCCAAGAACACGCAAGAACAAGTCACACAGTTTGAATTTTTTCCATAAACGCATACTTCGATTCATGCATCATTAACGTATTTTGTGGATTGTTTTGTGCTCACAGGGACTGTACGAAGCTTTTGGTACAATTTAATTTGATTATAATGCCCTGAAACAAAAACCTCCACTTTAGGGCCTGAAACCCCTGGTTTGCTTTCTCTATATTTTTCTTGTTTTATTTTTAATTCTTATTTTATTTTCTTTATTTGTTTAAACTAATTACTATTTCTTTACAAATTATAAAATACACAAAAATCAGAAAAAGAGAACAATATAACATTTATTTTATTTTAGTTATTTTCATAAATAAATTGTATGTAAATTAACTTAGTATTAATTTAGGTTGCAACTTTAATTCTTTCTTCCATAAAAAAATCCAAAAATATAGCATTAGGTTAATGACTTTTTATTCCTTTTAATTTTCCTTGTTTTTTGCCATAATATTAGTGATTTATTTATTTTCATGATTAAACTTGTAAACTAATTAGGGTTGCATTTAGGTTAAATTTTAATACTTTCATAATAAACTTAAAAATAATTAGAACTAGGTTTAACATTTCATTTTGGTTTTTAATTAATTCTTTTTTTATTAAATCTCAAAAAAACACAAAAATACTAAAAAACATTTTCTTAATTCTTAATTTTAATTCCTTATTAATAATATTTTGCAAAAGGGTCCAACGCCCTCGTTCGTAATTTATTTTATTCACGCATTTTATTTTATTGCTTAAATAATTATGTATCTCTCCCAAAGCCATGTAACTCGGACAATTTAACTTCTCGCACTTTTATTTGCTTTATTTACTTTCCGTCAAATCGGGTTCAGTTTAATTTTGGCGATGTGGACCCGCGCCATTTGTAATAGTCTTAGATTTATTTTCCCGCAAATATTAACTGTTAAATAAGCATGCAAGAATGAATGGCCTTAAAAATAAAATCAAGCGTAGAACACCAATAAACATGACAAGACAAATATCAATGAAAACGATACACGAATCGCACACACCACCCCTAGGGTACGCCTCACTGTTGCCTTGCCTTTCGAAAGGTGATCGTCGAGTAGAGGATGTCTTAGTAAGTCCTCATGATCCGGGAACCTGGCATGAGGGTAGCTTCTAAGGTGTCTTCCCATTGCTCTGGTGATCACCATGTCCCTACAACCTCGAATTGACCCGAACACCTCCAACAGTGGTGCTACCTACCTCTCAATGGTGGGATGGCACTACTTTAAAGGACATTTACACAGACGAATTCCTTAGGGTAGGTAGGTTCTCAAGGATACTTGCTCTAATTTCAAACAAAAAAAAAACTCTTTTCACACCAACACATTTTCAAAAGCTTTCAAAGCAAATCTTTCAAACACTCTGACGTACGAGTCGAACTGAGATTTTTCAAAGAAAATTTTTAAAACCCACATTGAAAAGCAAACAAACATTTTTGAAAACACAATGAGCAAGTATCTAAGAGCCCATGGATAACCATGGATAGAAAGGGTGCTAACACCTTCCCTTTCTATAATCTACCTCCCGAACCGAGAACAATCTCTTTAAGGAATTTTTCTGTGCTTTTGTCCTTTCCATTTGGAGAAAATAAAAGACGGTGGCGACTCTTGCTTCCGCGACATTTCGCGAACCAGCGTTAAACAGTCAGTTCCAGATCCACCGATCACAGAACTGGCGACTCTGCTGGGGATATAAACTTAAAGTGAGGTATACCTTAGGGCTAGGTCATAACTGTGTTTTCAATTGTTTTCCTTGTGTGCTTTAAATTGTGGGTTGCTTGGGAGTTCTATAG